AAAGGAGGACGCTTCAACGATTTAGACCCTCCCAGAAGAGCTGTGGGTGAGCATTAACATTACTGGTAAGTATATTCATTTTCTCCTGGACACAAGAGCCTATTATTTGGTCCTAAAAGCCTTGAGGTCCCAACTCTTCTCACTACTTCTTAATTGTTGGAATTGACAGAAAACCTCATAAGCAGCTCCTTACTTCACCTCTGCCTTGCATGTGGACTTCTGAGCTGTAAAACAACCCAGTGGTAGATGGAATTTGCTCCAGGACTTAAGAACAATAAATGACATAGTTGAGCCTCTACATCTTGTGGTTCCTAACCTTTATACTATAATAGACAAAGTGCTAGTCAATAGGCCTTTTATTTTAAGAACGACCTTCCCTCTGTAACTTGATTTGTGCCACTATTTGAACTTCTAGTTGGAATATTATTGCTTTTTAATTTTTGACTCATGTACTTTTAACTTGTTAGTTAAATTTGTATCTTCTAGGCTGCAACACTTCCATATACATCTTCAAGGATACAGCTAAGCACAATTAATAACAGTGCATCTAAATTCCAAAATCAATCTCCACAAAAGTCTGTGTTTCCTATTGCCAATGGGGCCCTTTAGAGTAGTGAGAGAAGATCTTCACCCTGAAACCTACAGCGTCCCTTTTCAGCAAGAAGTAGTTAAGAGAATATGCCATCCCCTTTTCCTTATGAATCAGGGTGAAGTCTCTCTCAGGGAGGAGTTGATAGGGAATGGCAAAGAACACACTGACAAAGGAGATTAATCAGAACTGGCTTTCACAAGCACTGTAGCAATGGGACAATTAAAAAAGACTTTCAAGGGGAGAAAAAAAAGAGGAATGAACTGGGAGGGGGAGGGTAGAGAAAATAGTGCAACAATGAATGAATGGAAACCCAAAATTCTGTAAATGTTCATGAAAATAAAATTTTTTTAAAAGTGAAGGGAAAAAAAGAAAATTGATCATAAAAGACATTAATATTCACTTTGCTCACTCATTCCGAACAAGAAACTGAAGCTATTATCAAATGGCATAACAGAGTAGAGATAAGCCAATTCCACTCAAGTCTTCAGATGATCCCAACCAGAGACCCCATCATGACTTCAATCTCATAAAACCCTGAATTTATATTACCCAGCTCAGCCACTCCCAAATTCTCATCCCTACAAACACTAAGACAATAAATGGTATCTTATAGTAATTATGTTTCCATGTGGCTTGTTACACAGCAACAAGTATCTAATACAAAGATTTAACATTTTAAATAAGGTAACTCCCTATAAGACCACAGATACATTTACATGTGTACACTGTACATATTACAATAATATATATGGTTGTTATGTTATATCCAAGTTCAAATTGTTTTCCTGTCAAACATTCTTCTAGGTGGTATAACACTGGTCTGTGGGTTGCTGTACAGAGGTAACTCATGGTTGCTGTGATGCTAAAGACTGTGACAATGATATGCCAATCATAGTAATGGGTACCCATGGTGGACAGTGTTGGCTGGAGCTTCCCAACTAAAACAAGCCTGGAAGCAGGGGCGGTATCGACTTCTGAAATGGCTTGCCTCCAGAAACGCTATGTATGAATAGTGCTCAGGCCGTCTGTTCACAGGGTTGCTATGAGTCATCTACGACTCGACGGCATCAAACAACATATTATATTTATATTCTATTCTATTCTATTCTATATTATACTATATTATGCTAATAAAGATATTACAATTAATCAGGAGAAAAGTATGAAGATAACAGTGCAGAAAATAAAAACTGTGAACATGGCAATAAGAAGTAAAGTAAGTAGAAAGCATCTGAATATTATTTGAAATCTACTTCTGGTGAAAACACTAATAGAGTAGGAAAATATCGAAATTACAGTGGGATTCTGGATACTCAAGAAAGCAATACTTTCTCTCTAATTTTCAGATTCAGAAAAGTATGACTGTCAAATCCAATACTCAGAGATGTGGAGATAAAAGGACATTAAAAATGAGGTTTTTTTCAAAGCAAGTTTGCTTTTTAAGTATTATTTCTACTGATATAATGTTGTTAATAAGGATAGAAATTGCAATTTCCCAAGATAGCCCGGGTTATTAAAGATAGAAAAACAAGAACTTTATAAAAAAGTTAATAATTATTCTTAAAAAATATCTTACTTCTTTCTTAGGTTTCCTTTCCTTCTTTCTCTTTCTTCTTCCTTTCGGAGGAGATAAATTCTCAGCAGACATTTCATCCTCTGAACTACTACTGCAAAATCGGGTTCTACGTCTGCGAGATGATGTTCGTAAAGGAGGCTGCAAATTGATGCCTGCATCAGCTGTCCAATCAGAGTATCTAGATGAAGAGTCACTACAAAAGAAGAATTTTTTTACTGTATACAACAAAAACCTAAGCAATTAAACCAATTACACAGTTTCAAAAGAGGAAAAAACAGCAACAGCAGGGAAGGCAATCCCAGAAGGTCCAATATAACCCTCTTCCCTAACTACCAATGATCACTGAAAGAATAGACTGTTTAAAAAAAAATTGGGGGGACCTTCACTAATGTGGAAAATTGAGAAAGGAGGGGAGAAAAAGTAAATCTGAGTAATTTTCCCTCCCTTTTCCTCCGGAAACCCTATGAACTTGAAGAAACAATTAAAGTTATACAAGTGTTCAGGTCTTTCGTTTATAGGGTTACCCAAGGTAGACAATGTTTGGTGGAGCTCCCCAATTAAAACAAGCTTGGAAGCAGGAGTGGCATCCACTTTCAAAATAGCTTGCCTCCGGAAACTATAAATGATGAAATGAAACTATAAATGATGAGAAATGATGAAAGTTATACAATTGTTCAGGTCTTTCATTCAAAGGGTCACTTTGAGTTGTCTACAACTCAAGGGCACTTAACAACAATAGATACAAACAAAGAGCCAACGAAAAACTTCCCTTTCTAGATCTGAAAAAGTGCAGACTTATGGTAGTTTACAGAATACTCCAGGGCCTAGTAGTATTCTATACACTAAAAGAATGCAACTCTAATAAAAAAACTGGTAAAAGACAAGCAAAATTTTTCTTAAAAGAAGGCATTCAGATTGCTAAGAAACATGAAGGAAATGCTCACAATCTGCACACCAGTGTTTATTGTGGCTTTGTTCGCAGTAGCAAAGAGCTGGAAACAACGTAAGTGTCCATCAACAAATGAATGGATAGAGATGCTCTGGTATATTCACACAATGGAATACTATGCAGCATTCAAAAACAAGGAACTTGCCCACAACAAACAAATGGATAGGAAAGCTGTGGTATATTCATACAATGGAATACTACTGCTGCATTGAAAAATAAGGAATTCATAAAATATTATTCAAAATGGATGCCCCTGAAGGACATTATGCTGAGTGAAATATCCCAGTCACAAAAGCACAAATACTGCATGGTGCCACTGTTGTAAACCGGGACTGGCATCAGGGTTCCGGGGAAACTGAGAAATATGGGATAAATTATGTATACTGCATTAAAATAGATGAGAGAGAGAACTGTTTAAAAGGGATATATGATTAGGTATTATTGTCATGACAGGAGTTCAGCAAGAAGGCTTAGTGGAGTAAACTTGGGGGGAAATACTATTTAACAAAGAAAGAATTATTCTTTTATTTTTCAAAGGGAAGAATGAAGTGGAGAAGAGAGATAGGCAGGGGTAGAAAGGTGCAACAATGAATGAATGGAAATCCAAAATCCCTCCAAAATGTTCATTAAAATGAATAATAAGAAAAAGAATAAAGAAGGAAAAACAAGGAACTCATGGAATATGCAAAATGGATGAACCTGGAGGACATTATGCTGAGTAAAATATCTCAGTCACAAAAGGACAAATATTGCATAGGGCTACTGCTATAAAACGGGACTGACACTGGGGTTGAGGGAAGACAGGGGAGGAGCAGAGGAATGAGGCATATGACATTGAAACAGATGAGAAAGAGAGAACTGTTTAAAAGGGATATATGATAGAGTATTATTGCCATGACAGGAGTCCAAAAGGCTGCATAGTGGAGTAGACTTGGGAGGAGGGACTGCATAACAATGAAAGTATTTTACTTTTCAAGGAGAAGAGTGAATTGGGGGAGGCAGGACTAGGTAGGGAGAATAGTGCAATAATCAATGACTGGAAACCCTAAGTCTCTGTAAACTTTCATTAAAATTCATCAAAATAAAGAAATGCTCAAAAATCACTGGTAATAGGAGAGATGCAAATCAAAACTTCAATAAGATACCATCTCACCCCAGTAGCAGTGGCAAAGTTTAGCAGGGTAGTAAGCAATAAATATCGGAAGAGGATGTGGAGAGACAGGAACTCTCATACACTGTTGGTGGGATTCTAAAATGGTCTAACTATTCTGGAAGACAGTTTGACATTTCCTAAGAAAAGCTAAACATAGAAATCCCATATGACCCAGTTATTCCACTGCCAGGAATCTACCATAAGGAAAACATAACTGAGACACAAACATATTTGTACACTGATGTTCAGAGCAGCATTATTCCTTACAGCAAGAAAATGGAAACAGATAAAATGTCCATCAACAAACAAATCGGTTGAGAAATTGTGGTACAATCACACAATGGAATACTATGCAGCACTTAAAGAACAATGATATTGTAAATTATTACCCAACTTGGCAGGGATTGGAGAGCATTTATGTGAGTGAAATCACTCAGTCTCGTATGGATAAATACTGCATAAGATCATTATTGTAAAAATAGAAGGATAATTAGGAAGATGTGGATTGAAGTCCAAAGAGGAAAGCAGAGGGAGGCAGAGGAGTTGGGGAATTAGAATGTCATAGCATTTCATAGAATTTGGTGGGCAACAGGAAGGGGTGAAGGAATTAGGAAAGATCCAGTAGTAATCTGAAAAAATAGGAGTGATAGTAGACATAGAGCAATGGTTTATAAAGCACAGTGTATGGGAATGATCATATAAAACACAATATGAATGAAGGAATGTGTGAAACACAGTGTATGTGAATTTTGTATGCAAACCACTATACAATAAAATTTAAAAAATAAAAGAAAAAAGGAGGGAAGGGAATTGAACATAAACAGACATTGAAAATTGAGGAGGGGAAAAAAACAGTAAATTGGAGGGCCATTTTTAAAAGTATTAAAATAGATCGGACTTAATGGAGACAAAATCAAGAGCTAATGACAATTTACCTTTCTAAATTTAAAGTGCAGACTTTTGAAATAATTGAAATACAGAGCACTAGCAGTAGTCCATAATTTGAAGGAGAACAACATTCAGACTGAAAATATGAATTAGAATCATAATTCATCACCACACTGAATAAAAGGAAGCATCTCTCTTCTCACTGCCTACACGTGGGAACTGACAGATGAGCACTCACTGGTTTTCTAAGTTTGTAAATCATACGAGAAAACAGTGCTCATCTTTCTCCTTTGGAATTTGTTGGTGGATAAGAAATATCAGAGAAGCAGAGCCTTTGGGTTACCAGCTAAACTCCTCCATGGACTATATGACCAGAGCTCAAAGGAAACCAGGTCATGTCAAACAGAACACTGAAAAGGAGTAAAGTTTCTCCCCATCAGAAAAGGATTTTCTTTCATAAGAATGGACTCACAAGCAAGATGACAACTCCACTTAAAAGCTGTAGCAAATGCATGAAACAAAATGTGTGTGAATGTAAGAATATTTTTTAAAAAGCTACAGCAAAATATGATTAAAACAGGAAGTTAAATAAAGACAATAGAAAACTAGTCCCTTGCCTACTACTCATTCTTTATCAAACCAGAAAAGCATGACAAAGTCCCTACTAGGGCCATTCTTAGTCCAGCTTTCACAACACATCACTTACCCTCCCAAAAATCAGTTACAACTAAAAATTTTCCTTTTTAAAAGAATCTTTCAAAAATTAAAACAGTAACAGGTTTGTACAAATATAGATAAAAATCTGATTTCTAAAAATCATTCCACTGTCCAATTTTTAAGAGCCAGAAACAAAAAAAGATAAAGGGAGAAAAAGGTCCAACATGGTTTTCTGGATCAAGAAATTAACAAGGGAGACAAAAAATAAGACCATGTGATGAATATCTAGGAAAGAGAATTTTATGGATAAGTTATGTATAGTGAGAAAGAAAAATGAGAGACAAGGTTAATGGCTTTATTTACCGAGATAGTGATTACAGGCACTCAGATGCCCTGATATTGAAGTTTCAGAACTAAACAAAAAGGACATGAATAATGCTGATGGGGGTGTCCTGTATGTATTCTGAGTACTTTTTTTTTTAATTTTACTGAAATACTTTATTTTTTAATGCAACATGTATTTTTTATAGCATATTCTTTCCACTTGATTTCCCCCCATTCATTCACTGTTGCACATTTGAAACACTTTTTTGGTAAAGTACTATTAAAATGTTGTCCCAAGAGTTAACTGATATTTCTAGCACACATTTTATATTGTTATATCTAATGTTTCTATAGAGTTTATCTTTGACTTTTCTTAGGCATTATTTTACCCTGCAATATAAACGGGTGAGAACATGTGAATGGAGCATGTTAGCCTATCCACAAGGGTATATCTACCATTACACAAGAGGACGGCTGGTCTCAACAATCTACAAGAATCTTACTACTGAATTGAGCAAGACATGAGTGAGAGGCAGACAGATCTTCAGGTGCCATTAAGAAGGAAGCAAGAAAATGTAGGATGCCCTTCTTGCTCCAGCTACACCTATAGCAGCAACATGTAACATGCCTAACTGGAAACCTGATGTGAGATGGGACCGGCGGAATAGGGAAGATGGAGGAGACAATATTGTCAGGACTGAGAACTTTGTTGGATTACTGGGGATGGGAAGTCAATATTGGCAGGACTGAGAATTTGGTAACAATAGCCTTGAAGCTGTGAGTCGTAAGGCTCAAGGCTGAGATGCCTGTGGATACATTTCAGAAGCTGTCTCAATTGTGTGCTATCATTTTTCTAGATTAAAGTCTTTTGACTTCCCCAGTATGGTTCTGTATGGTCTGTGATTTTTAACTAAGCAAAGCAGTATGACTGGTGTTAAGAGGAATAGAAAGAGGAATGGGATCATAGGAAACACGTCTGACCTCATGGAAATTGGTTTTGTTATTGATGCTGTTGATGGGGACAGTTGCCATTTGGTTAATTAGACATGGCCATCCCTACATCTTCCTTACTTTTCAGTTTCTACTCAGCTAAAAAAAATCTCCAAAGCCTTATCCAAATAATAGCTTCTACCCCAGTTTTCTATTTTATTAAATGTCTAAGTATTCAATGCTAATTTGTTTGATAACTGCATTTTTTTTTCCTAAATACATGTTCTCCAAGTCTGAAGCAACAAAAAACATACCTTGAACTTTCACTGTCACTTTCACTTTTTCTATCACTCTTCCATTCTTCCTCTTCAGAAGAACAAGAGACTTCACTTTGATCACAGGAAGTATCCTAATATGTGAGAGAGGGGAAAATCATGCTGATTCTTTAGTTAAATAAAGCAAATTAAGAAAAGCTTTGTATTATCATGTCAAGGATTAAGTCTTCTAATAAGTATGATAACCAAATAATAAAAACCCAGCTTTATAAACAAAAAACACACTTTCCTTATTTATTGCCATCAAGTCAGAATTAACCCACAGCTGATCCTCCACCAAGTTTTCAAAGGCTAGAATTCGCACAGGAGAAGAATGAGCATCTTCCTTTCTCACAGAAGCTGACACATTCAATATGCCTGCCTTTGGGCTGGCAGTGAATTAAACTCTTTACTGGGCTACCAGAGCTACCTAAACTTACCTTGCTATGTCTTTATTCTAATAAAGGTCAAAGGAAGCAGAAAATATGTGTGACATTTAACAGTACCACTGTCAGCAAAAGAATGTGGTAAGACAGGCCATTCACTCTCTATTATCAAGGAAAGTGTTATCAGGTTTTTTCCTCTTAATCATTTTAATAGGTATTTAATTTACTCATTGTAATAGATTTTAAATAATCGTATCTCATTATTTTAATTTACAATTTTCTAACAATACATGGACTGGGATGGTCTACTGCTTAATATATCAGGCTGATAACGTAAGATCAGTAGTTCAAATCTACCAGGATTCCAAAGAAAAAAAAATAAGTCATAGCCTATAATGATTTACAGCCTCAAGAAACCCAAGAGAAAATTTCAAACTTGAAACTCGGGATCAATTTGATGGCAGCAGATAATGACATGAGATTCTAAACATCTTTTTATATTCTCCCTTATCATCTTCTACCTTCTTTGGCCAGATGTCTGCTCTTAAGACTTATTTTTCAATTTAGCTAATTTTTCCTTACTACTGAGTTGAAGAGTTCTTTGTATAATTTAGATACAAGTCCTTTATTGAACTTTTGTTTCAAAAATAATTTTTCTCAGAATACAGGTTAGTCTTTTCTCTCCCTTAACAGTGTCTTTTACACAAAGAAATCTTTAACTTAGCAATTGTTTCATTCACTGATGTTTTGGGTGTTTTAAAAGCAACCATCACAAAGATTTTAAACAAGAATCTTGATCAAAAGGATGAAAACAGAACAGAATTTCAAATTCTTATGGAATCCAGAATTTTCTGAGCCATGCCCTAAAATAATCTAAACATTAAACAAAAACTATCTCCCAGATAGAAGTCATAAAATCAAATAATTATCTAGTAAAAGTGTTTGTTCTGACCTTAGTGGAACAGAGGTTAGTCTGCCTGGCTAGAGATGGTGTCTTTCCCACCCAAGGGGCTAGAGACAAGCAGGGTCCAAAGTCAGAGAAGGCTAGTCTAAGGCAATAATCACTACTGATATGAAATATACAAGTGTGCCAAATGTGACAGTGGAATGGCAGGTATGGGTCTACAGTGTAAGTGAAGTGCAGCAACCAAAGGCAGTATCCTTGCTAATCTGACTAAAGGCCAAATGGGGCACACTCCCATAGTTACCCTGAGAAACAAGCTGAGAGCTTACGATGTTGTAGACATAGCCAGGAGAATGAAGGATGGTGGACCTATGAACACTATCTATCACTTAGGGTGAAGCACTGGTGAGGAAAGTCTTAAGTCTAATTTGGGGGTTGGGAAATAGATGACAAGAAGGAAACTGCATTATGCTCCACTACCATATATGCACCGTCCCAGGCCAGATAGGTTGTTTATTATACCCTTCGAGTTGTTGGAAAAGAATGCTGAATATCCCATGGACAGCCAAAAGAACAGATATGTTGGGGAAAACTGCTGTCAGAGTGCTCCTTTGAGGCAAGAATGGTGAAGCTTCATTTCATAATTATACTTGGGACATATTGTTAGTAGAAGCTATTCCTTGAAAAGGAGTATCAGGCTTGGAAAAGTGTTAAGGTCAGTGGAAAAGAGGAAGATCCCCAACAAGTTAAACTGATGAATGCGGCAATGGGCTGAAGGGTATCAGAGATGGTAAGGATGGCACAATATAAGACAGGGTTCATAGGGTTCCTATGAGTTGTCCTCAACTCACCTGTATCTAACAACAATAAACCATGTTTAGTTACTTAAATTTCTATGCTTGTTTATTTTATAGTATGTCCATATGGATATAGTACATTCCTACCAGTTTATGGCATTGTGATGATTTGCATATTGCTGTAATGCTGGAAGCTGTGATACTATTATTTCAAATACAAGCTTATATCAAATACCAGAGGAGTTAACCACTGTGGATGGGTTTCAGTGGAACTTCCAGACTAAGACAAACTAAAAGGCAGAACTGGCTCTTCATTGCTAAAATAAGAGCCATCTGAAAATCCTATAGATAACAAAGGACCACTGTTGGATATAGTACTGGCAGAAGAAGGCAAAGTCACTTTCAGGTTGCAAGACACTCAAAAAACAGGGAGAAACAGCTGCAAACATCCATTAATAATTGCAGTATGAAATGTATAAAATATGAAATCTAAGAAAACTGGAAGCTGAGAAAAAGGAAATATAACACATAAAAGATCAAAATCTTGGGCATCTGTGAGCTGTTCAAGACTAGTACCAGTCATTTTGAATCCAATAATCATGTCAGAAATGACAAAGAAGGAATGGTGTCTCAATCATCATAAAAACGAGCATTTCAAGATTTATTCTCAAATACAATTTTTTGAGTGACAGGATACTATCCAAATGCATACAAGACAGACCAATTAATACAACTACCACTCAATACATTCTCTAGCCACTAAAGTCAAAGATGGAGAAACTGAGGGTTTCTACCAACTTCTGCAATCTGAAATTGAACTAACCTAATATGCAATCAAGATGTACTAATAATAATGATAATAAAAAAGTTGGAGACAAAAAAATTCTAAATACAGCCTGGGTGACAGAAAGGAGGTCCCAGATGGTACGACAGAATTTTATACAATGAGTTATTTACTGCAAATACATTTTTAAAAAAATAATACCAGGATAGAAGGAAGACTCATTAACAACTTGCTTTATGCAGATGACACAACAGTGCTTGCAGAGAGTAAATATGATTTGAAATACTTACTCAAGAAAACAAAACTCATCACCACTGGATCAACAGACAACATTATGACACAAAGAACACTGAAGCTGTCATTTAATTTTACTTGGGATCCAAAATCAGCATCTACAGTAACAGCAGTTAAAAAATCAAAAGCACGATGCACTGAGAAAATCTGCCATCAATGACTTCCTTAAAATACTAATGAGCAAAGATTTCCACTTAAATACTATGTTGTACCTGATCTAAGCCACAGTATTTTCAATTGTTTCATATGCATCCACAAACTGGGATATGAGTAAAGATGACCTAAGAAGAAATTAACACCAACTGTAATACTGTTGAAGAATTTGGAATATACCACAGACAATCATTAAGAACAAACAAGCAGCCCTTGAAGGAAGTGCAACCAAGGTGGCTTAATTTCAAATACTCTAGGCATGTTGTCAAAGAAAGTGTGTGGAAAAAGACATCATGCTGGAAAAGGTAGAGGATAAAAGAAAAAGAGGGAAACATTCAAGAATATGGACTAATATAACAACAACAATCATGAACAGGAGTATAGAAGAGATCATTGAGAATGGAGTAGAACAGGGCACGGTTCGATGGCAAGAAGCTGTGCTGCAATCCTGAAGGCACACAGTTCAAATCCATCAGCTCTTCTGAGGGAGAAGGATGTGATTCCCTCGAGAGGGTCAGTTCCAACTCAGTGGTACACAACAACAACAGGATTTAGTCGTCTTGACAGCGTCCAACAACATTAGAAGCAACCAAGACTAATGAAGCTTAGGTAAGAGGTTGAATTCACCAGCTGCTTAGCAACAGAAAGATAGGCACTCTCCTCTAAAGATCAACAGCCTTGGAAACCTCTGTAGGGACGAGAGAAGTTAAGAGTCCAAATCCTTTCCCCTTTTTTCTTTTCCACTAGGTTGTCATGTAGTTAAAGTAGCATTTTTATGTGGTTTTAATTTTACATTTTATAGGTTATCTTTGCTCTTTGTGAATCAAGGCCTTTAATGAACAAAAAATACCTAATTTTCCCTGCTCAAGCTCTTGTCACATTTGATAATCTGTCATTAAACAGTTGTTTTTGTTCGATGCCATTAAGTCGCCTATAAGTCACATAGATACAGTGAACAAAAGATCAGAACCGCGCCCTGTGTGATTTCTTGGAGGTAGATCCCTAGGCTTTTCTCCCATGGAGCCTCTGTCCACCAGAGATTGCCTCAATGTACCTCACCTCATTACTGTCAAGTTGGAACAGACTCATACCTGGTCTTCCATTCAGGATGTATGTGGTATTGTATACTGTAGTCAGAATCAACCCATAGCTGACCCTCCAATGGGTTTTCAGAGGTAGTTAATCACAAACGAGGAGTTTATGTAAGGATATACAAGTCAAACAAGTGGAAACTGCCCATCTTTCTCACAAAGAACAGCTAGTAGAGTCAATCCTTTAGAAAGGTACAGCCTTTATGGTGGTATTGCAACTCTCTATGGACTACTTACCAAAGCTCTCCTCGATATACGATAATTATAAAACTAAAGATTAAAACCAGCCCCATTATTTAAACAAAAAAGTTTGATGAGCACAAGTTTCAATGATAATAATAGCATCTAACAGTACAGTGTAGGCACTGATCTACAATGTACAATTAACTAAATTCATTCTCAAAGCATCCTGAAAGGGCACACTATTCTGATTTACGGCATAGGGAAACATAAGGGCAAAGACACTGAGGAATGTTGCAACCTGATAAAGTGTAAGAATTAGGTGGAAGTTAAAAGCCTAGGTTTAGCTATCTGAATACTTTAGAATTCAGTAAATTGTTCATCTATATAGAATATCTCACTCTTTAATATACTACTAGTAAGTTATCTAGAAGACAAATATTTCAGTGAAAATTTTCTTTCTGTATGTTTCTTTTCCAAAAATTTTGGTATCAAACAAAATAATTAAAACAAATACTCTTAACTTATAAATGATTACTGAAAGTTAAACATGAGGATTAGACAATGCTTTTTTAATACAACAGCAAATGTGTAACTAGAATAACAATGAAAAACTGCACCTAATAAAATTTACAACTCTGTGCTTCAAAATCCCATCAAACAAAAATAAACCAAAGGTGAAAAAAAAATACTTGCAAATCATATCTTAAATAAACTGTACCCAGAAAACACATAAAGAACTCTTACAACTTATTAAAACAAATACCAAAATTTAAAAAATTACAACATATTTTAATAAAAATTTCTCCACAGGTACATGAATAATTAATAACATGAAAAGTTGCTCAATATCATTCACTAAATCAGAAAATGTAAAATAAAAATTAATGTCAGAAACATGAGACAAAAACATCAGAAAAAGTAAAATTAAAACCTCAATATGACATCATTTCACACACTCTAGAATGTGGTAATACGATGTTAGGAACGATGTGGAGATATTAGAATATACATACACAGCTAGTAGAAATAGGAAATGGTGCAACCACTTTGAAAGCTCTTTACAGGTTAAATATATAGTTTTTATATACCTGAGGTATTCCACTCCTGAAAATACAAGTTAGAGAAAGAAAACCATGACCATACAAAAACATTTGCAATTCTAGAAACCTCTGGAGCAGCACTATTCATACTAACCTAAAAATAGAAACAAGCCCAATGTCAAAAAAATAAACAACAAGTAAAACAAAACATAATATTAGGCTATTAAAAAAAGTACTTATACATCCTACAAAATGTGGCTGTATCATGAAAACATGCTAAGTTAAAGACATTAAAACATCAAAAATATCATATATCCATGATTTAATTTATATGACATGGCCACAATGCACAATTGTAGAGACGAAAAGTAAAAGATTGCTGAGACGGGATAATAGCCAGTGAATACTAATAGGTAAGGCTTTCTTCCGAAAGCAATAAAATGAAACGAATGATCTACTCTAGAAATATATTTTATGCTTGAATTACTGAGCTATAGATTTGCTGTTGCTGTTGTTGTTGTTAAGTGCCGCTGAGTCGTAGGTGACTCAGAGTGACCCTATAAACAAAAGTCCTCAACACTTGTGTGACTTTCATCCTTTCTCCAGGTTCACAGGAGGCAAGCTATTAAGTGGATGCCACTCTTGCTTCCAAGCCTGTTTTAATCAGGGAGCTCCACCAAACACTGTCCACCATCGGTAACCATTAACGCATTTGACATATAAGTGTCACAGTGTTCAGCTTCACAGCCACCACAAGTTACACCTGTATAGCAAGGACACACCAGGGCTGTAAGACCTTTGGCTTGGTATAGGTTTAGTAAGTTCTATTTTAACATAATGTTAAACAATTAACTATTTCAAATGTCTTCTTCACTGTCACAAAATAATGTACTTTATATCATTTTAGTGTAGACACAAAGTAAGGAATTAAGATTAAATTTATTTTTTTTTAAAGAGAGAACTTTATTAAGCTACCATGCTACAGGGAGCCCTGGTGGTCTAGTGGCAAGAAGCTGCACTGCAATCCCAGAGGTAGAGGTTCAAATCCACCAGATGCTCTGCTGGAGAAGGAAAGGCAATCTCCTCCTGTACCAGTCAGATCTGATTTGACGGTGTAAACACACACACACACACACAAAATAAATTAAAAAAAAAAAAAAGATACCAAGTTATAAAGGATTTCTGTTGCAACACATTTGGAAAATAGAGTAGCTTTAGTTTAATAACTTGCACTATAGAGAAAATTGTTAAAGAAATTAATATAAAAGTCCAAGTATTAGTTCACTGTCCCAGATGTGATTGCAAGATCTTCACAGGTAGGTCTTCTGCAATAGAATATGCTCCTAAACAGCCGAGATATTTAAGGTTGTTTGAGTTCCTTCCCACATACCAAGTCAGTCTTCACTGTAACAGGTCAGGACTGGCCTCGACCCGTTTTCCCTGCGCACGGCCTCTTTGTTGCTGGGCACCTCCTTTTGCACCACGAACGCCTCTTGCTGATCCAGAACCTCCTCTCTGTGAATAACTGGCTCTACTGCAAGGAGCAGCAACACCCCTTGTTCCTCCACCACCTCTGCCTCCAGCTCCAACTTGAAAATCTTCACAGCCACAATATGGATCTTCATATCCACCACGGTAGTTATGGTAATCATAGCCATAATTAACATAAAAATGTTCATATCCATAATAATCTGGAGAGTATCCATAACCACCTCTACCTCCATGCCCTCGACCTCTTGTTGGAGGGGGCATATGAGGTGGACCATAATAGTAGTAATCATCATACATTTGATTCTTTCCTGCTTGCCTCTGAGCTTTTCTTTCTCTCCTTTTCTGATCAGGTGGCTTAGCAAAAACAATCTCAATATTTTCCCACTCTGAATCTTTGCAATTCATTTCTTCCATAGCCTTGACAGCACCATCTCTTTCATCAAAATGAACACATAATCTTTCCATTTCTTCACTCGTTCCAGTTTCCCAAACTGACTAAACGTTTTTTTCTAAAATTCTTCTGTTACAGTATTTGCAAGGTTGCGTACAAACAAAACTTTTACCATTGCCATAACTTCAGGATCTGGATCATCTATGGGATCGGCCCATTCGACAGTTCCAACATTCCCCCAGACTTTGACTTTACAGCTCATTAACCTAAGCCTTGCCTGAGCGACTGTTTTGTGATCTTCATATTCAAGAAAGCAAAGGCCTCTTTTTTTTCCTTGTCATTTGTTTGGTGGTATAAAATGACATATGTAAGACCCTCTGTACTTTGCTAAATTCTTCAATCCATAGTTTTACTACAAAAAGCCTATTGTTGGCAACAGAGATGCAGACACTATTATGTTTTACAGAATGAATTTCATAATTATTATACAATTTAATAGCCTCCTGAGCCACTTCTTTTGGTTTGGTTTTTTTAAAAAATAATTTTTATTTTATTTTTATTTTCCTGTGTGTGTGTGTGTTTGTATGTGTGTACTCAAATCAGATCTGACTGGTACAGAACATTGTCCCTCCTTCTCTAGCAGAGCATCTGATGGATTAGAACCGCGTGCCTCTGGGATTGCATTGCAGCTTCCTGCCACTAGGCCACCAGAGCACCCTTGAGCCGCTTCTTCTGTACAAAAAGTGACAAAAGCATAACCTCTATTGAGACCAGTAAGAGGATTCATCATTAAATGAAGATCTCATATAGGTCTAGCTTACTCAAATAATGGTACAAGTTCATCTTCAAATGGGTGTTTTGGGATCTTCCGCACAAATATCTCAGTGCCAACAGAAGGCTGCTGACCTGAATAAACGGAGTCTGGAGGTGGTCCTCCATACTTCCTCTGCCCAGTGCTCACATCAAGTGTATATCCTGTTCTTTCCAGGAGTGCCTTGATTTTTGCCTCATCTGGTTCTTTGCTAGAATCTGCTACTTTGGTCCCCTGTTTTTCTCTCTGCCAGTAAGTCTTCATGACTCCACATAAAAAGGCACTTTTGTTCTGAACATGAGAGAAATCACTGTCTTTAAACTGTTGGAGAACTGCCAATGCACCGTCTTCATTAAATTCTTTTAAAGCTTCGATAACTCATCTAAACCACTATGTGCAACTAGCCCTGCAAAGTAAATTTCATCTAGTTTCTCAGCAACTTTCTGTGGTAAACCAGAATCAAATAATGGCTGAAAATTTTCTGAATGGATAACTGCAGAAGTAGTATCCATAGGCTCTTCACTATCATTTCCATTAACATGTTCTGTAGCCATGTTTCCAGAGATCTGGCTCGCTTTCCCAGTCCCGCCCGAAGTCCCTGCCACGCAGGGTCCTCTCTCTCTCTCTCCCGCACTGACGTGACTATGTAGCCTACGCCTCTAGACACAGCCCAAGAGTGCCGCTCCGCGCCCTGGGGCCTCAACCCCTGGGTCTGCCAAGAATAAAATTAATTTATTAAGATTATTTTGAATAATTCAATATTATATTACTTACATGTCTCACAGAGCTTGAGGATTCATTTCCAGAAGAGGAGGAGAGCCGTGTGAGATTTCTTCTCCCGTAATTTGGGTATTTACGCCTACATGGTCTCTGCCTAGACTGTGATGTCAAAACCAACAAATCGGACTGAAAAAAAAAGGCAGACTAAACTCAGGCTCTATATACATTCAATATTCTAAAGAATGGGTTTTTTATTGAGTATTCAAAAGATTTTTAGCAAAAATAAAAGCTTGCACAAAATATTCCTAAACAAGTAATATCTTTTCTATATATTAAACCAAGCATATTTTTACTTCTAAGATAACTTAGAAGACATGAGAAAAGTCATTTAGATAATAATTTTCCCAGTTATGATCTAAGTTTAATTACATTTCCATAAATGAAAGGAAAGAACAATTTAAAAAGATCATGAAATGTAAATTAGAATACATGAGAAATTACTATTTATGTATTATTATGATGCAGTAATGGTCCTTTAAGAATTTATCAAACCACAAAATAAAGGTAAATAATCCAATAGAAAAATGGGCACAGAATATGAACAGACACTTCACCAAAGACGACATTCAGATGGCACACAAACACATGACGAAATGTTCAAAATCCCTAGGTCTAAGAAAGATGAAAATCAAAACAACTATGAGATATCTCACCCAAGTAAGAATAGAAAAATTTAACAGAATAGCAAGCAATAAATGCTGGCAAGGTTGTGAAGAA